AATAAATGATTTATCCAGGGAAGCATTTCTTTCTTTTAAATCAATTCTCTAATTTTCAGCCTGGTTCTTATTTTGTAACTGTGCACTATTTTCTAGTGTAAACTCAGCCCGTTCTGCAAATATCTGCTGATTTGATCAGTGTTTTCTTCCTTTCTTATCTACAAGATTAATAAAAAAAAGAAATTAAAAAGTGGAAAGAATGAAACATGTGGCATCCCACTTGAAGTCATTCCAGTTTGGTGGTAACTAACTTAGGAGGTCTATTTGAGCAACGTTGCAGGAAACCACCAAAATCATAATTAAATTAGCTTTCTAATCAGAATGGTATGGTGTATTTTTCCAATGCTTGGCAGAAATCAGTACTGCAGGCTACTTCTGCTGACTGCCAATTACCAGCAGTTCAAGCCTAACCAGCTTGAGATTGACTCAGCCTTCCATCCTTCTGAGGTCAGTAAAATGAGGTTGGGATAATATGTTGACACTGTAAACCACTTAGAGAGGGCTGTAAAGCACTATGAAGTGGTATATAATCTAAGTGCTATTGCCTCAAGAAATTATTTTTGGTTTCTTCTGCTTCTTTACTTTCCCATCCATTGGCATTGTTCATGATTGTATGCATGCATGCATGCATTCATGCATGCATACATACATACATACATACATACATACATACATACATACATACATACAATCATGAACAATGTTGATGGATATATACAGTACATATGCAAAAAGCTAAGAGAACCATACAGTTGGCCTTGACATATAACCAGTTACTTCGTGACAGTTCAAAGTTATGATGAGCCCACCCCCAGCAAAAAAAAAAAAAAAAAAAAAAAGCTATTTTCCCCCATCATATATAATATCCCCATGATCATGTTACTGGATTTTGGGCACTCACCAACTGGCCAGCTTTTACGAACATTTGCAATGTTCCATGGTCATATAACTCTGATTTTCAATGGGATTTACTTTCTTTTTCCAGCAAAATCCAGCCCATACAAAACAATGGGTTCACTTAATGACTGTTGCAAAGCAGGTCATAAATCGGGTTCAGTTACATAGTGACCCATTTACAACTTGCAACTGTAATTGGAGGATTCATTAATTCCACCTAGGATTATCCCATTTTCTAACAGAAAAAAAAAATAAAAGAAAAATATTCTATTTGTATGAGATTATTTTTCTCACTTATTAATATTGCTAGAATTATTGTACTAATATGTTGATGGCTTTTTATATTAAACTCAATTTGACTTTGAATAAAACAATTGAGGATACAAGAGATTTGTAGCTTTTTCTTAATTAAGCATGAATTTTCAGCATTGTAAGTAATTACTCCATGATCAAAATATTTGCTGACAAGAAAAAAAAGAGTACAAATCAGGTTAATAGAATAAATGTTAAATTGAGTTAAATAAGGTATAAACAATGTAAAATAAAATAATTAGTTTTGTGATTATTAACTTTTAATTATACTACCAATGGACCTCACTGTTACATTAACTACAATACAACACAAAGGGATATTACTTTTTGGGTGGGGAAAGAATCTAAGTAGAATTCTTTATGCAAACTGACAATTACAGTCATCCGATACTCATTCAAAAAGTTATGTGCCAAAGATCATAATAAAGTCATTTGAATTTATGCCAAAGTACAAACTAAACAACACTGAAAATTAATGGACAATCACTTGTGTCTTTAAAATTAATTGAAACATAACTTTTTTTTTTATTAGGCTTTGAAACAACTTATTCATTTCATTATTTGTATTGTTGAGGTAGTGTGATTTGCTTTATCAAGGGCAAGAGCCGAGTCACTTCACCCTAGCCAAGAAATGTAGGTGCCTTCAAGACAGAAGAAGTTATCTCAAACTTCCTCCATAAGTGTTGGCTACAGTGATTTCTCTTTTGAAAATGCTATGGAAATATATAGATTCAGAAGAATACATATCAAACTGGTTTTATTAAATAAATGCAGTCCTATGTTCCTTGAAAAGACTATCTTGGAAATCATAAGTTCAGCTTAGGACATCTCATTTTATTTTATTTTACTATTTTATTTTATTATTTTATTTTTCAAACAGCTGTGTCAAAAACAATTGGAGACATAGTAAAAAAATAATGCAATTTGTATTATATGATTTTATTGCAAGAAACAGTTAAAGTGTAATTTGATCCGTATTTCTTTCCAATGCCTACGAATGTTGTTGGACTTACTGATAAGAAATATATAGTGACTGCAATGGAGATTATTTCTAAAATAAATATGATGTTTCTGATAATTATATTTAAATTACAAAAACCATGCAAGAAATAATGTTTCTGTTCCCTAAAATAATTTCTCAAAGAAGATATTTTGTAGGACATTGTTCCTATTTATTTGTCTACAGATACTTCTACTAGATTCATATTATATCCTGTTTTTCTTCCAGGATTTCAAATTGACAGCACTTTTGAGGGTTGTTGGACTGAGAACAAGTAACTACCACTTTACACATTCCCCCATGATAAGATATCAATAGTGTTCCTGTTTCAAATATCCCATTTGAAAATATGTTTTTCCAAGTCAAAATCTATAAGAAACTCTAATGAACATTATAGTAGTTTGAGACAAAAATTGAACAAGTGTTTCAGAAACAATGGAAGGGGGAAAAAAGGGAAATAACAGGACTGTAAGCAATAACAGCATAGTAAAAGAAATCAAGTGAGATCTCTGATAGGATGGAGCACACAATTGCTGGTTGGGGTGAAAAAATACAAAATTGCAACATGCCTGTGCCTATGAATGTTGATTCAATAGCAAATGTTATCTTCCCATATTAACTGAAATATCAAAAATACACACCTTTAATGATACATTTTGAATTGTAATTTAGCATTGAGATTCATACAGGCTAAAAGCTATGATAGCAATATCAATAGCACTTAGATTTATATACCACTTCACAGTGCTTTACAGCCTTCTCTAAATGATTTACAGAGTCATCATATTGCTCCCAACAATCTGGATCCTCATTTTACCGATCTCAGAAGGATGGAAAGCTGAGTCAACCTTGAGCCTGGTGAGATTCGAACTGCCGTATTGCAGACAGCCAGCAGTCAGCAGAAGTAGCCTGCAGTACTGTATTCAAACCACTGTGCCACTACGGTTCTTATGAGAATGATATGAGAAGCACATGTTTATATAAGAATAGTAAATAGATGCATTGATTATATCTAATTTATTTTCTAATTGAGAATAATCACTCTTCAGATCATATTCAATCATCTTTGTCACTTTTTAATTAATGAATGTTCTTTCATGTACCCATTTTATGTTTCCTTTTAAATACATAAATGTAGTGGGATTTTTTGTGTGTGTTACAGTACTTTTTTTTTTCATCTCAGCCAACTGAAAAGAAATTGTTGCAATTAAAAATATCAACATAGAGAGAACATTTTTCTATCCATTTTGTTTCTCTATATAATTCTGATTTCATCCCTCAGCCAAATATAGAACAAACATATAGAACATTATAAAATGATTATTTTATGGAATTATGCCAGAATAAATCTAAAGCAAAGCAAAACAAAACAAATCTAATATGGGTTAATAACTTTAATATATGTGTCTATTATTGGAAAATTACTACTTCTAGTGATATGCTAAAGAAGGTAGACCAAAGATAATTCCATAAAAAAAGAGTGATATCTTACTATATTCCACCATGAATTCCTGCAGAATTCCACATATGTTTATCATAATGTCTGTCAAATATTTGAACAAGTGATGGCTTGCATCTGAAGGGACACAGATACTTCAAATCATATTTAGTGTGCATGTGATAAGGATGTTTCTGACTCCTTAATGTGGATCCTGACTAAGAGGTTGTTGTGGCTTGTAGTTCAAGAGATTTGTCATCCACTTGTAAGTGATGGGTCTGAGTTAATACAGGAGGCTGTAGATTCTGATAGTAAAATCTCACGGTCTGACCTTGTGAAAGTGCCAAGCCCTAAATCATACTTTATCACACTGTCAGGTTAAAAAAGGCTAAGCAGTGAAAGCTGGCCCAGCTCCTTAAGAGGAATGATTATTAACACCTGTAAGAAGAACATAGATTCTGGCTATTCAAGAGCATTGTTCAGATCTCCTTTTTTGAAGCAATTCTCATGTTCCAGACCTGTCTTCCTGGGACACAGTACTTCAAGTACCTCCTTCTCCTTGTCTTCTAATGAGACCTTTTCCTTGGTTTTTGGACAGTCATTTGTGAAACGTTCTAGCACCCGACCAGTGGTGGGTTTCAAAAATGTTTGGAACCTCTTCTGTAGGTGTGGCCTGCTTTCCGGGTCCACTGGTGGAACCTCTTCTAACCAGTTCGGTAGATTTGACGAACCGTTTCTACCGAATAGGTACAAACTGGTAGGAACTCACCTCTGCACCCGACCTATAGAGTGTCTTGATTTCTGATTTCTGACTTCAAACTCCCCTGGCTAGCAACTTGCAGAACTTGGCATGATTACAGCTTTCTTTTTTTTCCTTTTTTTAAATCTGTTTGAATATGCTTTCTCTTTGAAGAAATGGCAAGCACTTATTACTGCCTCAGGATTTACAGTACATAAAAAAAAAACTCTCAAGCTTGTAATTGCAGATCTTATTGTCTGCATCAATCTCAAGTTTGTCCAGGACAACTTGGCCTTTTTTTTTTTTTTTTTTTTTTTTTTTTGTAGCTTCATAAAACCAAGCACATTCTTTTTTCCATACATTATCCAGTAGTTGTGGAGGGTAAAAGGGTAATTCTGGGGAAAGATGCAGTTGCTTTAATCAATTGCCAATCAATGTTATATCAGTACTCTGAAGTATCCTTTTTCTTTAAATCCAAAACACTGCACCGCTCCAATGCCCACACACATTGTCTCAAATGAACTAATCTTTCTAACTTTCTTTCTGACTTCTTATCGATTTTCTAATTTATCATTTGATACTGGTGCTTAAAACACTCTCACGGGTAAACTTACCTTATTTGGATTGATGGCTGTGATAACCCAAACACACTGAGCATTACTGTCATACTGGAAAGGAAAATTGGGGGATGTGAATGTGCCACCTGGTCCTTGAAGATTAGATCCACATGTCTTGACTGCAAAAGAAACAATCAATGTTATATTCCAAATTAGGTCGTAATTACATTTTTCTTTGCATTCATCTCACGGGCCTTAAAATGTTTAATGAGTTGCACAATTGGGCAAGGTGAAGTTCAGATTCTAATTGTGAAGATCCAATCATGGATTCATCAGGATTTACTCAAATAGTATCTTATCTATTGGAGAGATGCTTTCACAATAAAACACATTTCTTACGCTATGTATAAAAGCAATATCCATACATTTTCCCCATGACTTTTTCTCTCTCTTCAAAATATGCTTCTCCTTGAAGTAGGATAGGGTGGGAAGAATGAATAATATTTTTTTGTATAAGTTAGAATGACTATGGCTGAAAAAAATACAATATAAGTTTATAACAAAACCTTATTTGTGCCACTTGGCACATTTTGAATGGAAAAAGATTCAAGGAAAATAAGTGTTATTCATATATTTATCTATATAATCCAATTATAGAACTGTTAATTATATAGAGTGAAGTCATGGAGGATTTACATGAATTCATTTATCAATATACATTTATTTGTGACTAGGTTTATGACTATGTATACTGATGAATTCTAGAAGCGAGAGAAGATGAGCAGAACAGAAGATAACAGAATACAATAACAGAGTTGGAAGGGACCTAGGGGGTCTTTTGTTCAATCCCCTGCTCAATTAGGAGACCCTATACCATTTCAGACAGATGACTCTCCAGTCTCTCTTTAAAAACCTCCAGTGATGGAGCATCCATAACTTTTGAAAGCAAGCCATTCACTCCAATTGTTCTCCCTGTTAGGAAATTTATCCTTAGTTCTAGGTTGCTTCTTTCCTTGATTAGTTTCCATCCATTGCTTTTTGGCTTGCTTTCTGGTGCTTTGGAAAATAGATCGACCCCCCTCTTCTTTGTGGCACGCCTCATATATTGGAACACTGCTATCATGTCACCCTTAGTCCTTTATTTCACTAGACTAGACAAATCCAGTTCCTGCAATTGTTCTTCATACAGTATGTCTCAGCCATTGGACTACTAATCACGTGTGTTGCTCTTTTCTGCACTTTTTCAGACTTTCTACATCTTTTTATTTTATAATATGGTGACCAAAACTGGAATTGGTATTCTAAGTAAGTGTCTTATTAAGGCTGTATAAAGCAGTACTGGTGCTTTATGTGATCTTGATTCTGTCCCTCTGTTAATGCACCTAGGATTGCATTGGGTTTTTTGACTGCTGTTACACACTGCTGGCTCATATTTAAGTGATTGTCCACTAGTGAGAGATGTGAAAGTTTGGAGTCAGTAACCTAAATGATCCTTTCCAACTGATTCCATAAACCATCAAGATTCACAAATATGTACAGCAATGTCCTTGGTATTGAGACTAAAAGTGAAATATTTTGAGACCTCTTGCAATACAATAAATAACTAAAAAGATTGTAATGGGATTATCCAATTAATGGCTTAAATTTAGGAACATAGACATGTGAGAATGATGTAACTGCTGTAAAAGTAGAAACCTAATGTGGAGAAGACTGAGAAACCAGACATTGAAGCAGGCCGTCTAAGTGTTTAATAGGTCTTAAGTATATGCTTTAAAATGCAAGGAGTCCTTGCAGATTTCACTTTGCTAGCCATTGCCGACTATAGGTGGCAGTGCTCATCTCAGTATCTAGGCCATTGAAAGTCAAAGACATGATATCATGAAGCTCTGTTACCCTCCCACCAAAGTGGTACCTATTTATCTACTTGCATTTGCATCATTTCAAACTGCTAGGTTGGCAGAAGATGGGAGTTCACCCCATCAAGTGGTGTTCAGGTCTCGAACCTGGACTGCCAGTTTCTAGCCAATAAGCCAAGCATCTTAACCAGTGAGCCACTGTGCTGCCCCTTTAAACTGCAAGGGACGGATAAATTTGGTAAACAATACGATTGTCAATGAACTAGTAAGAAAACATTTAAAATGGTATGCAGATAACCTACTAACTACTATATATTATATTTTACATTTTAAAAAAGAAAACTATTCAAAAGTAGCTTACTATTGCCAGAGAACGGAAGATGCTTTTTGTTCATGCTTTTGTGCTTAATGGTGCATGCAACTAACACTTGAGCCCAATAAATTTCTTTAAAGAACAATATTGAAAATAAATACAGATTTTAAAAGTTTCATAGAACACCTTTGTACTATAATTTCATTCCAAATTCAACAGTGGAAACTCAGATATTCTTCTGAAAAATCTTTTTTCCCCATATGTATATCTGACAGCTGTTGCTATTTATAAAGCATTTAAGACGTTTTATGAAGTAATATATTCAAAAGTCATGTCCCATAATCACTTTTGTCACTGCCATCTGCTATATTATGGAGAAACGACAGGTTTTAATTAAGGAAAAAATACATTGTATGAATTCAGAGATTAAGCACCAAAAATATAATAATGAAACTCGTGTTAGGGTAAGCAGATACAGATTTATATAAAACCTAAGCATAAATTATTCTGATTCTCTTGCATTAGATCAAATGTTTTAACATTTCTTTTTGTTTTAAAAAAAAAGAGTGCAGAGGGAGTCAAAATAGCAAAAGTATAATACAGCAAAAGTGCAAGAAGACTCTTGCACAGGTATTGAGTGAGATAAATGAAAGATGGTGTTGATGTTTCTAGCTGATTTTAGGGGGGAGCTTGTAGTAGTTATTCTGCAACATAATTAGACTGCATAAAGAACATAACTATAAAATGAGGCACAGTGTTCCTTCACTAAATGAAAGAAACAGACATAAGAAAGTTTCAGAAAAGGATACAATTTTCAAAGGAAAAAAAAAGGTATTAAAGCAACAAGGTAGTGGCAATACATATACTTATGAATCAAAAGATAAACATTTCCAAATAATTGCATGAAGTTACTTTCCTTCAGCCATTCTACTAGAACATCTACTAGAGCAACAAAAATGATTAGAGGTCTGGAGGCTAAAACATATGAAGAATGGTTGCAGTAATTGGGTATGTCTAATCTAGTGAGAAGAAGGACTAGTAATAACATGATAGTAGTGTTCCAATAAGAGGTGGGTTGCTCCCTGATTGGCCTGATTGGCAGAACTGGTAGTAACGGTGACAGGAGACTCTGCCCATCTCCCGGATACTTCTGCGCATGCGCAGAACTGGTAGTAAAAAAAATTAGCAACTCATCACTGGTTCCAGTATTTGAGTGGCTTCCACAAAGAAGAGGGGATCAACCTATTTTCCAAAGCACTAGAAGCCAGGACAAGAAGCAATGGAAAGAACCAACCTAAAACTAAGGATATATTTCCTGAGAGTGAAAACAATGAATTAGTAAAATGGCTTGCCTTCAGAAGTTGTGACTGCTCCACCACAGGAAGCTTTAAAAAAGAGACTGTACTGCCATCTGTCAGAAATGGTGTAGGGTCTCTTGTTTGGGCAAGGGGTTGGACTAGATGACCTACAAGATTTCTTCCAACTCTGTTATTCTGTTATTTTTTTTTTAAATCTGTTCATGCCTTATTTATTAAGGATAAATGCTCCAGTGACATACCCTCTAATCCCTTAATAAAAGCTTACTGGAGAACATTTTGAAGCTTAATAAATAGGAACTTTGGTAATAGTTATCATACAGAGATACATTAGTGAAATACATGGTTTTATTAATTCAGTTGCTTCAATTGCCCCATTGGGAATACCATCTTGATTTTTTTTTGGACCATGCCCCATAGAAACACCAGAACTAAATAAATAAAAATAAATACAGAATACTTAAAAAAATCAACATAAATGATATATTAGATGAGTGTGTTTCACTAAAGAAAAACTAAAAAGTTCTTGAAAAGCAGAAAAATGAAAGAGAGGAAAAAGACAATTAAGAAACAGATTGGATCCTGTAAAAAACATCTAGTCTTATAACAGAGAGCAGTTTGGTGTAGTGGTGAAGGCATCAGGCTAGAAAGCCAGAGAGCATGAATTCTACCCCTGTCTTAGGTATAAAGCCAATGTGTCTCTCAGTCACTCTCGGTCCTAAGAAGAACAAAAGCAATGGTAAACCATTTCTGAAATCTTTTCAAGAAAAGTCCAGCGACTTCTTCAGACAGTTCCAAGGAGTCAAGACTGACTCAATATTACTTAGCAACAAGATAATAATTGGGCTATTGATTTGCCAATAGACAATCTCCACTGTAATTCTGGAAATTAATGTTTATGCAGTTTTTTTTTTTCCATAAATACAAGGTGTGATCATTGCTATTTGGCATGCAGCCAAGTCAGGTGGAATCCATCCAGTTGTCATTTACATTCCTTGTTAAAACTGTACCTGTCCTTACTGGAGTTGATTCTGACAACCTATCTCAATTGTCAGAATGTGTGTGGATCTAGCTACTCAAAAATGAATTAATCCTGATTTCAAAGAAGCATACTCTCAGGTAGGTGGTATAGCATGCCCACATACAATGGTGTGTTTTGATGAAATGATAACATCAAAAATATAGGGTTTATGTATGATTTGGCTTGATTCTTACTTATGTACACATCAATATTGTCTTTGAAACTCCAAGCATATTGCTATAGAAAATGAGTGATTCTGATGATAAAGAGTCACAGCAAAGAGCCTTCTCAGGTATTATTTATTTGTCCATCTTTCTTTTATGGTAATCATGTAGTTGTATTTTCTTGTGTGTTCTTTTTCACTGTTTATTTTATTGCTCTATTATATTTCTTCTGTTATATGTACACTCTTTTCATTTCTTCCTTATTATTGCTGTAAACACAGAACAGCCCTACAGTGAGATAGGCAGCAACTGAAGTTAACAAATAAATAAAACAAATGAATTATAATGGGACAGGTGGTGGCCAGACATAACTCTTGACCAAAAACAGCATAATATTCTACATAACAATAATTTCTGCTCCTTCACAGGTCTACTTTTATGTAATGATCTCAACTGAATGTGAACTAGGGATAATCACTCCTTGTTCTTTGGAAAGGAATGCAAACTTT